CGTGACAGCGGCTCCAGGCCCCGCCCCTGGCCATGAATGTCACTGCCCTGCCCCCCTTTGCCTCCCACTGTGGTGCTTGACTGACTTCTGCGCCGCTCAGCCAGGCCGCCGCGTGGGAGCAAGTGGAGCAAGTGGCCATTTGGGCTCCATGCAGCATGGAGAGTGTGGAGCCCAAAAGGCCATTTGGACTCTGCAGTCCCCCGAATGAAAGGCAGGAGGGGGAGGAGAGCTGAGAGAGAGAGGAGGGGGGAGGCAGTAGGAGGAGGAGAGGGAGACGGAGACGGAGCGAGAGACTGGAGGCTCAGGAGAGAAGACCGATGTGGAGGAGAGACCTGAAAATCCCATCCTATGATGGGCTAATTGGCTAGTTCAACAAGAAAAGCAGAACTGAATATGCATCAAGGGTATTTATTTTGCCCTAGATTTTCTCTATTTTGCCCCAGGTTTCTATCAGTGGAAACCAGGCTGTTAATCCGAGCCACAATAAAACTGCCTGGAGAATTTGGCAGCAGTGACACTAACTTTCTGCAACTTCTACTTCACAAGGCAAGTCCAGATTTCACTGGCAAGGTCCACGGAGCAGCCAGCAAATGTCAGGGCCAAGGCATCTCGAAGAGACAGTGATTCCTTGGGGGCCCTTCAGCTTTGCCATTGACTTTAATGCACACAGTATCAGCCCCTCATACGCCTAAAGAATCAGTCTCAGAACTAAATTTTAACAATTGAAAGAGACACTTGTGCATCTAAGATTATAACTCTTATTGAGCCTCTGCTGGAACTTAAACTGACTGTCACTGCCTCGGGAATACTTTGGGAAGCTGGCAGCGTAATCACCACCTGCTCCCTACCCCTAGATTTGGATGCCATCTTCTTGAATGCAACTTACTTTTTATTATACAGAGCAAATGCATGTATGTATGAGGGAGAACTCCTCCCAAAATGCATATTCCCAAAAAAGCATTCTGATTTTTTGTCTAACTTAAATCATTCAGTACTGGAAACACATTAAGCATGAGACATTTCTGCTTAAAAAGACGGAAGTAAGACAGCAACAATTGAGGTAAAATATGAGAGCCATAGCTAGATTTGCAGGCACCCCATTTTCTACTGGAACACCAGTCAAAAAAGGGACCTGGGCAGATTCAATCAGTACTGCTGACTTGGCCATTAAAAGCCCAGTTGGTGCAGCTCCATACCTGGCTCCACATAGCTCCCCAGCAGTAGTAATGTGAGTTGGCTCCTCATTGGAAAGATGGCCAAGGTGGCTCTGCATGCTGTCCTAGCCTGGAGTGCCTGCAAGAGCGGCACCTGTGACTGCAGGCACCATGAGGAACCACCTCGCTGCCATTCTGCCTAGAGCCAGAGGGACATATCGCTGATTCCAGGAAGCCACTTAAAGAAAGCACTGGCCAGAACCTGTGCACCACACACCTGCAACTCCTTGCCCCTGAGCCTCCTCCTGTATCCAAACCCCCTCATTTCTCGTCCCATCCTAGAGTCCACATCCCTATCCCAGAGCACGTACCTTGTCCTGCATCCCAAGCCTCTCTCCCAGCCTCATGAAAATGAGTGAGTGAGAATAGGGAACAGTGAGCATCACATAAAGGGGGTGATGTGAATGAAGCTGAGTTTTGTGTAATTAAAAAGTTGGCAACCCCCTCCATAATGGAAACTGTTCTGTAACCCATGGTAATTGTTAGGGTAATCAAGTTAAACCCAAAGGCATATGCAAACAAAAGACAGGTTTAAAAAGAGATGTAATAAAATGCACAGTAAATTGAAACCCTCCACAAACATACTTTGCCAAATGTTAAGCAGAAGGTTGGTGACATCTGATGTAGAATGCACCACCAACAAAAGACAGTTGTAGATTTATTGCAGGCTTCTGGGTGATTTTAGCTGAAAAGGCAGCAATGTATAAACATCAAATATAAGTACTTGGATGCACCAGTATTAATAACAATCAAGACTAATAGCTCTGTTCTGATCTTCTATGCTCAAGGTCAGATGAATATAAACACAACTGGAGCCTCATCCTGCATCAGGTTAGTAGTGTGAGTTTTACCATTGAGTTTAATTTGCACAGTATCAACCATTAATACACATAAAGGATCAGACACAAATTTTAAGACACCCTTATATATCTAATATTACAACTGCTAATGTGCCCAAACCACAAATGTATTACAGTACAAATGTATTACAGAGGGCCTTTTTTGTAACTAGCTACCATGTCCACAAAGATAGCAAGAAGGAATTATCTAGGTATGTAAGGGTATGTCTACACTGCAAAGTTAATTCGAAATAACAATCGTTATTTTGAATTAACTTTAATAGTGTATATACATGCAAACAGCTATTTCGAAATTAATTCGAAATAGTGGAGTGCTTAATTTGAATTTGGTAAACCTCATTTTATGACGAGTAACACCAAATTCAAAATAGCTATTTCAAATTAAGTGCTGTGTAGACACAGGGAGCCCTGGTGGCCACTCTCGACACAATCAGGAAAACTTACTCTCCTCTTCTCCAGCCCCAGAACCATTAAAGGGGTAGACCCTGGCCACAGTGCCTGTGTCAGCTCCAAGCCTGCCAGCACACAGCCAGCACTGGCCCCAAAACATGAGCCAGCAAGCCACTGGCAGCCAACCCTCCACCACTCCCCAGGAGCAGTCTGCCAGCTCCCAGGAGCCTGACAGGGGCTAGAAAAGGTGAGTGCCTTCCTGGTCCAGGGTGGAGATCATGGACCTTATTCAGGTTTGGGGGGGATGCAATGTCCATGATCTCCGCACTAGATGGAGGAACGCGGCCGTCTATGGCAGGATAGCTGCCAGCCTGGCCAACAAAGACCACATGCAAACCCAGGAGCAGGTTTGCATGAAAATCAAGTTGGTCCAATGAGACCCCCAACCCTGGGCCCTGAGCTTCCCCTCCCCCTTCTTCCCCTTGCTTCCTCCTTCCAGCTCCCTCCTCCCAGGTTTCCTCCTCCCCTCTCACACTCTCTCTGGGTATGTCTACACTACCCCGCTAGTTCGAACTAGCGGGGTAGTGTAGACATACCCATAGGTACTTAGGGTCAGGTAAATCCCTCCTAGATGGCACCATTAGCTGTCCTAGCAGATTCTGTCAAGATATATGAATATAATAGGAACCACCCCAGGACTTGCCTCTGCCCTAACTCTTCCTGCCCCCTTTCTGCCTCTGCCCTCTTCATGCTCCACTCCACCACTTCTCTGCCTCACCACTTCACCCAAGCCTTCTTCCCTGAGCAACTATTTCACTAGAAGGGTGGTGAAGCATTGCAATGGGTTACCTAGGAGGTGGTAGAATCTCCAGCTCTATAGGTTTTTAAATTCTGGCTTGACAAAGCCTTGGCTGGGATGATTTAGTTGGGATTGTCCTGCTTTGGGCAGTAGGTTTGACTCGATGACCTCCTGAGGTCTCTTCCAGCCCTAGGATTCTATGATTTTATGAATGTGGCCTGGTGTGGGCAGCAGGGGTTGGGCTCCCTTCCCCCACACTCACTGGCGGCAGTAAAAGTGGAGAGATGCTACCCTCACTCACTCTGCAGCCTCAGTTCCCCATTGTGTAGTTCTGCATCCTTCTGGTGAGTGCTGGGGGGAGCAGTCCTGCCTCTCCTCTCAGTAACACAGCTGAGAGATG